TAACTTAAAAACGTCTTAACGGTTGCTGGCTGGTTGGCTAACAGAGCAACAGGAAGTACAGCTCAGCAGCAGAAACAAGTCAAGCTAATGCTAAAGTCATTCATAATGTGTGAATCTAATGGCAAGTTATTGACATTTTGTAGTTGGATTTGTTTTTTCATATATTTCTTTTTGTTGTTGCCTTTTTAAAAAAAAAAAAGATTTGTTTCTCACGCTACAATCAGATTAAAGTAACTTTTCTCCAAGTCTTGATGGCTAACTTAAAAACGTCTTAACGGTTGCTGGCTGGTTGGCTAACAGAGCAACAGGAAGTACAGCTCAGCAGCAGAAACAAGTCAAGCTAATGCTAAAGTCATTCTTAATGTGTGAATCTAATGGAAATGTATTGACATTTTGTAGTTGGATTTGTTTTTTTAATATATTCTTTTTTGTTGTTGCCTGTTTTTTTTAATTTTTTTTAAATGATTTGTTTCTCTCAAAACGTTGCTCTTCAATAGCGCAGCACATTATTTGCGTGTAGAGACCTGGTCACATGTCCCACATTGTTCTACACAAACGTAACATTTGTCCCACATTTTTATCGATCGACAGTGTCAGCAGAGAAGAGGTGAAGAGTTTCCGGCTTTGTTTACAAAGTAAAAAGAAAAAGAAAGAAACCGACTCAGACTTTAAGTCTCTCACACACAGATCGATCCTCAGAATTGATCGTCACGTGAACAGATTCAACAAACACATTTGGAAAGAGCCGTGAATGATGATCACGCTGCTCGTGGCTGAGGTGTTCATTCTCTCGTTGCTGTGATGTTCTTTATAAAAACGCAGCCACGTACTGTAGGAATGATAGATGGCAGAGGAAGACAAAGTTGCTCCGTGCTTCATTAAAGATGACATTTACAATATGAGCGCTTATGAGCTCGCTCTAAAATATACGGCTTGGCCGCTCGACCAAAACAACGACACCTTCAGACTGGGTTTTACCCCTCACTCCTCACCCAACCCTCACCCCTAACACTCGTTTCTTTCCCCCCTTTTTCCTACTTTAAACAGTTTTACCGTGAAGCGTATGGCCCTGTTCTGTGTGATATTGTTACTTTTACTCAGCAGTGAAAGGTTTATGGCTTTTGCATGTGAAGAATCCTACAGTTTTGTTTCCATAGAAACACAGGATCCTTGGCAGACGTGTATCTTTGAGTTACATAAGGATTTACCAGTACGAAATACACACTCCAATATGTGCATTCTCATTTGACTGGGTTTCTATTTTAAGGAATACTACACAGCAACCGTAGAACACATTCAAAATCCACAGTTTCTTTTTTAAATATTGCTGCTATATTTAGCCGCGTAGCGCTGCCGTGTCATGTGACCTCTTTGTTTAAAACATTCCTACACAACAAAGTGAGAGTCTCCATCATAGGGTGAACTGTATCGTAACACGGGTCATCGGTGTTATGGTGCTTGTTGCGCCGTTTATATGTGGATGTTGCGTAACAGCTGGTCGTCCAGCAACACAGCTGAATGTATACGACGCTTCCTCGACGCTAATTATGCAATAGCTGAGGCAGCGGCTTTAAAATGAGGCGTTTGATTTAAATGCACAATAATGACCGTGATCAAGTCCAGCGTCGTTCTCAAATATTAGAAAGAAGACATAGATTGGACTGTAAACACTGAAAGAGAGAGAGAGAGGGGCAGGGTTACAACAGAGGGGTGGAGGGCTAGAGGACCGCGGCAAGGGGGGGGGGCGGGGGGGCGGCTCTAACCATACTAATAAGAGTGAGATGAAGCTCATGTGACTAGTATAGAACTGATTCCAACTTACCTGAGGCATGATTTCACTTTACTTGCTCACTAAGTAGATATTGACGTTCCAGTCCTGCATATGCAGTATGGATGTCCAATTAGCATCACGCCATCGACAAGACCATTTAATAAAGCCGGCAGCTTGACTTCTGCCTGTGATTAAGTGGCTCTTATCTCCCCTCAGCTCCGGGGT